GAGAGAGAGAGAGAGAGAGAGAGAGAGAGAGAGAGAGAGAGAGAGAGAGGAGAAAAGGAACGAACTTTTTTCGTTTTGTGAAGGGAGAGAACGAAAGTGATCTTTTCCGTCGCTGTTCGTGTTTTTTTGATTTCAACCCTGAGAATCGAAGCTAGGGCTTTTAGTATAATTTTGATTTTGTTTTTTGGGAATGAAGATTTGACATGTGAATTGGTGATAACTCGAGCGCCGATCTTATTGACCTTCGCAATTTAGGGTTTTTTTTTTTTTAAATCAGCGGGTATGGACGTGGATTCAGCCATGGCCACAGAGGCCGATCACGATCCGTTGGAGGAGTCCGCCGCTGCTAATGGTGCTCCCCGGCCCATCGAATCCCAATCCTCATCGCATCAGCAGGAGCAGAGTAATAACAACACCAACGCTAACAGCAGCTGTAGCAGTGGAGGTGGCGCGGTGGTGGTCGGGCCACGGTGTGCGCCGAGTTACAGTGTGGTGAACGCCGTTATGGAGAAGAAGGAGGATGGCCCGGGACCGAGGTGCGGCCACACGCTGACGGCTGTGCCAGCGGTTGGGGAAGAAGGGACTCCCGAGTATATAGGCCCAAGATTGATTCTGTTTGGAGGGGCAACGGCTCTTGAAGGGAATTCTGCCGCATCGGGAACTCCATCTTCTGCTGGAAGTGCAGGAATCCGTATGTTTTTTTTATTTTATTTTATTTTATTTTTCAGTATAACATTATTTCTGATTCTTATCTTTTTAATTTTCATGTTATGAGTCATTATTTGTTGTGTGTGAGGAGATGGTTTTTCTTTTTTGCTGATATCTTCAGTTGAGTGGAAGACCCTTTATGCTTTTTCTTCAGTTAAAGAAATGATGGTTCTGGGCCCAAAATTGATTGAGTTCATAACATCTCTTGGGTTGATTTTTTATTTTATTCTTGTTTTGTGATGTAAGATCAATTAAGCAGAGTAAACTTTGAAGAAAGCTAATTTTGTTTATTATTAACTGTTCTATACTTAAAAAATGAGGAGTCGGAGATAGGAGCGCATTTGCTGCTATGCCATCAATGTTTGATTTAGCTATTTGGCTTAAGTGGGAGTGCCAAACTGTTTTGTACTGTTCCATTTTGTGATGGTTCATTGAAGCAAAATTTAGGGTATCTTTGTTAATGTATGCCCGTTTGAGTTAACGCTTGATAACTCCAGTGGGAAAAGTTAAATTCAAAAGATGATAGGAAAATTGTACCTGCTGATGGAGTATATATGGTAGTTTATTCAAACCAGCGTGTGATGATTAATGAGGCTCGGTTGTTCTTCATTTAAACATCAACATATGTTTCTTTAATATTCTTTATATTGCTTTAATTGTCACTAGCGAGCATTTTATTGCAGGCCTAGCCGGGGCAACTGCAGATGTGCATTGTTATGATGTGTTGACAAATAAATGGTCTCGGTAAGCTTTTACAAAATATTAATCGCAACAAATTCTTAATTGCAGATCTTTGGTCTAATTTGCGGTGGTTCTTGCTTCTCTTAGTTGTAGTTATTTTTTTCTTTATATATAAGATATGTAATTATGAACCATTAATTTTGGCAGAGTTACACCTATTGGAGAACCGCCCACGCCTAGAGCAGCCCACGTGGCTACTGCTGTAGGTACCATGGTTGTCATTCAGGTCTGTTAACGCGTGGAATAAGTTTCAATGATACTTTATTATAATTAATATATTATTATTTTTATTTGTATTATTGTTATTTAAATTCTTAACTTGGGTGATATAAGATTAATACTATTTTCCTTCATAGGGTGGGATTGGTCCAGCTGGTCTGTCGGCTGAAGATCTTCATGTTCTAGACCTTACACAACAACGACCGAGATGGCATAGGTTCGTTTTATGTTACCGCTAAAGTACCTTTATCAAGCTTTTTGAGTGATCCATCGGCACAATTGCTCATTATAATTTTCATTTACTTCGTTCTGTATTCACTAGATTGAATAATAATTTCTCTTAGGGTTGTGGTCCATGGTCCTGGGCCAGGGCCACGCTATGGGCATGTCATGGCTTTGGTGGGACAACGTTATCTCATGGCAATTGGTGGAAATGATGGTTTGTTATGTTTCAATTGTGTTTGTTGTGTAAATTGTACCTTTTCCTTTCTTCTCTTTTGTAATTTCTGTGGGCAAACAAATTGGTGCATTATATTAGGAAAACGGCCTTTAGCTGATGTATGGGCGCTGGATACTGCTGCAAAGCCATATGAATGGCGGAAACTGGAACCCGAGGGTGAAGGTCCACCTCCATGCATGTGAGTTGCTTAAACTTTTCTTAATGATCGAGGGTGAATTTCACTTTGTCTGAGTACAATGTATTCAACTTTACTTCGTTAAATTAACATTTTGTAATCTGACCTTTTCAACTACAAAAACAATGTTAGTTTGTTTTCCGTTTTCCCTCTTTGCATGAGTATTTGAAAAGGTGCTGGAATTATGAAACCATTGTTTGAACCTATGGATATTGAAACAACCTTGTGTTCTAGGTTATATACTCATGGGCCAGTTTTTGCCACATGAGCTCAAGTGTTGATTTTTATCTTTCTTGCTACCTGTCCAGGTATGCCACTGCAAGTGCTCGTTCTGATGGTCTTCTTCTGCTCTGTGGTGGGAGAGATGCAAATAGTGTGGTAAATCTGAGCTTATTGAAATCCACCTTGTTCTTTGCTACATTGCAGTTTTGCTTTTTTCCCCTTCTAATGCTTCTTGTTGTATGTATTTTTTCCCCATTTAGTGGCATGCTTTTCTAGAGAGCTGCTTCACTCTTTGTTATTGAAATGAACAGGAGCAGTGGTTCTTTTTCTTTTGAATCACATGCTTGTTTTCTGACCACCGCTGTTCCTGTTTGGGACCTAAGGTCAATTTGTGAACAACTTTTATACTGAACCTCGATGGTTCCAAGTTTTTGATTTGCGGCATTCCTAGTTTGCTTATTTTTTCGACCTTTGACTGGTTTGTCCAATATATGTAGCCACTGGCCAGTGCGTATGGACTTGCCAAACATAGAGACGGTCGGTGGGAGTGGGCTATTGCCCCTGGTGTCTCACCGTCTTCGAGATATCAGCATGCAGCAGTGAGTTTTTTTTTTTGTTTTTTTGTTTTTTTTGTTTTTT